TTCCTGCTGCTTTTTCACGGTAGAAAACTGTCCGCTCAATGGCAACGACGGGTTGAACAGCAGAAGCATTGGTGGCGCCAAGGAACAAAAGGGCAGCATACATGGCTCCGAAGAAATTATTCAGGTCTTGTTGTTTCTCACTGTTGGTTGGGGGTTTTCATAGATTTAGTCACTCAGATTGACAAAAGCAGTAAACAGATAGTAAGAAAGAGGAGGCATAGAGAAGGGCTTTAACGTACATTTTAGTTCCTTTCTGCCAGAAAATTAGACCGAACATGATGCCGATGACTACAGTCATGAGAAATCGGATGGCATTGTATTGAGGATGCCTCCAATATGACTTATACTGCTTCCAGAAGCATGCCCTGCATTGCGTAGAAAATGATTGCGAGTATTTGGTCGGGAAGTAGAGATTGTTTGAACTCGGTGGTGGAGTACTCAGCTCCCTGATGAGCTCCTGGTTTCTCCTGAACAACGTCAAGTTCAGAATCAGATTAATCAATCCGATATAATAACTGAATGACTATGATTTTTTTAAAATCGAAATTGAATTGAACCGAAAGCAAAAATAGACGGAAAATCCAAAATTTTCTTTGTATCGTTAGAAATCGAGCCCGGACCGAAATCAAAGGGAATCTAATATAAAAACCGAAAAACCGGATCTGAATATAACCAAAACTAAAATCAAAATGTTCACACCGAGTAGAAACAGATTACTCTCCAAGACATTGAACTTACTGATACAGTGTGGAGTTGGCATATATTTCAGCGAAGTCTACGCCAAGTTGGGTCTCCATTGAAGGTGTACTGACTTCAAGCATCCACGTCGCGGGATTATAACTGTCAATGATCTTTGGGACCCCGTGAACTGACTGTAATCATAGTCATAGGTATTAGTTCATCTGTATCGGAAACTAGAGGAGGCATTCGGATCAGTTACGCATAAATCAAACAGATCCGACCAGACACATGACAGTAAATGAACTGAATCCCATATAAAAATTGAATATATATGATTTTTTTAAAACTGACCCGAACCGAACAAAAAGTAACCGAACAAACCAAATGTTTTTTTTTTGGAAAACGAACATTTTTATCATAAAAACAGATTATAAACTGAAACCAAGCCGACCCAAATCTAATATAAAAATCGAATGGATATAATTTTACTAAAATCGAAAGTTTCTTTAGAAAACGAGCATATTTATCATCAAAAACTGAACCAAGTCAAATGTAATATAAAAACCGAGTGGATATACCATCTTTAAAATCGAAAAAACTGAACCGAACACATGTGGAAAACTATATGACTGAGAATCCAGAAGAGAATTAAAATGAGAGAAGAAAAAGATCACCTCGAAGTATTCTATGAGCCTGTGAGAGTGATGCCCTAAACTTCCTGCGTAGATAACTTGTCCCCCTCGTTTCATCAATAGCAGCTGCAATACACCGACACGTTTTGCTAGATTACTCGCTCTTCAGTATTACTTATGAGACCGAGAACTCAGTTTCGGAGTACAAACCTCATCGAAGGCTTCGAAAATATCTATACTGGGTTGATGAATGGTACAAACCACTGTTCTTCCTGTATCAACTGTATTTCTAACGGTACGCATAACAATGGCGGCAGCCCTAGCATCAAGACCGGATGTTGGCTCATCCATGAAGATTATAGAAGGGTTGGCTACAAGTTCAACCGCTATGGTGAGTCGTTTCCTTTGTTCTGTTGAAAGACCATCGACCCCGGGAAGACCAACTAGAGAGTTTCTTATAGGTTTCAATTCAACCAATTCCATTACTTCTTCCACAAACATCTGTTAATCACGTCAAAAGACAAAGCAGTTATAGCAGGGTTCCACAAAGGTGAATTATCAGCAATTACGCAATGACATGAAACCAGTTTATAGAGTGAGGAAAACCCGAAAATTGGATTCAGATTTGGGTAATTGGGTTTGGGATTAGGTATTATCGAGGTATCCGTGTGAACAATATAATGACATTTTTGCTCCTAGATTTTAGAGATATTACATACAGACTTATTTAAAATTTTGCAAATTTCATGTTCGAATTCGGTGTTAATCCGAAAATTCTGAATACTCATGAGTTAATTCATATTTATTTTGAAAAACCAAATAAGACATAACCATAACCGAATTGAAACTAAGAATAATTTTTCTAAAGCCGAAAAACTGAACGCAAACGGATATAAAAATGGCCGAGAAAACAAAAATTTCTTTAGAAAATGAACATCTTTATCATTAAAAGTCGAACTCAAACTGATACTGATATAAAAGTTGAATAGATATAGTTTTTCTAAAACCAAAAATTCGAATCAAAACTCGAACCAAAAACCGAACTGACCACCTCTTAACTGCGGAAGTCAGCTTGGTTTATAGAATCTTGATAGTGGTTTGACAAGGAAGAAAGAAGTGCTCGTGTTCATACCTCTCGTGTTTTCATGTCTATATCTGAGGAGAGACGAAGCCAGGCTGAATAGAGAAGGGATTCGTAAACAGTAACATGTGGAGAGTGGATATCATTTTGTTCACAGTAGCCACTAACTCGGGCAAAAGTAGCTTGGTTCTTCGGGTACCCGGATATATTAATACTCCCTTCTATATAGCCGCCTGTTTTTCTGCCGGCCAAGACATCCATTAAGGTTGTCTTGCCAGCACCACTAACACCGACTAATGCTGTCAGAATGCCTGGCCTGAAAGCTCCGCTTACATCTTTTAGTAGTTGAAGACGATCCCCTTCAACTCCTTGACTCTTCATTTCCTGCAACATAAAAGGAAATTAATGAAACTCTAAGGTGTATCACATGTAACAGCAAAGATCAAATTTTGAGGTAGAAGCGCTTACAGCAGGCATATCCACGTAGTAATTAACATGGTTAAAAGCGAGAGAAAGAGGTTGGAAGGGTAAAACCATTCCTCTCCTTGGTCCATGACTTGAAGAATTTTTTAGTTCTACTACAGTACCTGCAAATTTTCATTACAGTTAGAAACTAGGAAGAAGGCAGTACGTAGATGCTTGAACAAAGAATCATTCATAAAAGATCTGTGGCGGTGAGAAAGAAAGAGTTAAAAGGACTAACGTTCTGTTCCACGGTTATTCTGTCTCTTTTGGCCATGGTCTTCCTCCACAACCATAGCTTTGGAATCATGAAGAGCTGGAAATCGATATTTAGCATATGAAAGGTTAATCAGAAAGATATTATTTTCATCCCAAGTCTAGAAGAGCAGAAAATTTCAACGTATGATCACTTACGGTTCAAGTAAGATAAAGCTAAAATGTAAAAAACATTGAACAGAATTGAATATCCAAGCAGCGCCCCTATACAGATCCAAAACCAATATCCTTGTGTAAAGAAGCCTCTGCTCTTCAGGAGGACTTCCCCAACTGTTCTTGCATCGATGCGGGTATCATTGTTGGGCTGCATCATGTAACATTACGGATTTACATCACAATGATCGGGGAAAGGTCAGACCAGTTAGCAGGCAAATGCTTAAACCGAAAAAGATTTCATAAAATCTTACCCTACTCCATCTCTCATCCAGAAATTCATTCATAACAATAGCAGTCTGTCCATACATCATAGGCGATGCATAATAGCCCCATATCATCCATGGTTCGATGTCATCTGACAAAAATCAGAAAACTTTTTTTATCAACAAACTTACAGGCAATGATGACAAGCTTAGAATGTCAAGAGAGGATGCAAAGGTACTAAACTATGAAACATTGTTTACAATTAGCAAGTTTCCCCTACTTACTTTTGGCGACGATGAAGCCTCCAAGGACAAAGACAATAAGCAATGTGAAGGTTCCCAACGTGTTTGAAATGACGTGTGTTCTTCCGACAGCTGCAAGGAATCTAAATAAGGAGAGGGCCATCTGATTCACGGAGAAGTATGCCACCAACTGGCGGAAAAACCTAGTGAACATAAGTGTGGTTACTTCAAGAAATATCGATAGATAATCATAAGGTAAGTTCCTCGATGAATTCCATAATGCAGGAAACAAAGTTACCTGCCAGCAGAAGGAGCGAACCCGACAGTGTAGTATGTAAGAATGATCCATATTCCTGATTCGAGAAGTGATAAAGGAATCCTGAGAACCCACATTGGTAAAGCAAAAGCCCATGGGGGATAGAACAAGAAGTCTCTCTGCTTGTAGAAAACTGGAAGCCTCATCACTGTGAAAGCTAGCTCTGCCATTCCATTAAACATCACATTTATCAAGCTGAAAAACAATGCCCCGTAGAATTTTGATCCATCTTCCACTCTGCCGACGGGCATTTCTGTCCTTAAAAACACTGTCATGGTTATCAAGGACATGATGGTTATTTGAATGGTCTTGAACACATAAACGAAGGAGTTGCGTTTCATGAGCAGCCATTCCCTAGCAAAGCATGCCTTGAAAAGATCCCAGTGTGAAATCCCATACTTTTCTGTCACCAATGCTGCAGGGTGGGTTTTGGATTTGTCATAAGGAATCCTAAGTTCTGAGGCAATTTGTTGCCCAATGTGGAAAGAATTAAATCCCCTCACAAATTCCGCTACCGAGACATATCTATAAGGTTGATCTTTCCTGTACCAATACTGCTCTTGGTCCTTCTTAGAAGTAACTTCTTGAAGAAAGTCTGCAACTCCCTTCCTTTCAGGGCATTTGAAACCGTTGTACTCAAAAAATTCAAGAACATTCTCCCTCGGACCTTGGTAGACGATTTGGCCCTCTGCAAGCAGGATAATGTCATCAAACAGTTCAAATGTTTCTGGTGCGGGTTGTAGAAGAGAAATAATCATTGTCACATCCGAGATATGAACCAGTTGCCTCATGAACTTGCAAATTTGGAAAGTTGTCGAACTATCCAGCCCGGTTGATATTTCATCCATGAAAAGAGCTGTAGCAGGCCCTACCAGCATCTCTCCTGTTCATTTCAGAAAAGAATAAAAAAACCACATGGTTAGCAACAGTTATCCATCGCATGTGTAATGATCTGCATGGATTTCCGTCCGCTACTCTTTTGTAGCAAGATTGCCATTGAGAAGAAACACTCTACTTGGACTTAGCTGAAAAGTCTACCTGTTGTTAGACGCTTCCGCTGCCCACCGGAAATACCTCGTCTCATCTCATCTCCGACTAGTATGTCGGCACAAATGTCCAGCCCGAGTATCTGTCAAGAAACATTTCTAGGGATGAGCCCTCAGCATTTGTAACTTTGCTAGAAACAGATCAATAGAAAGAAAAGCAAAAAACCCTACCTTGAGAATATAGTCGGTAACCAAACTAGTCTCTTGACCTGCTATTGCAGTGGATTTCATGAATGCATCAATTTCAGGGTCTGGCTTGATTCCTGCTTCCTTCTCCCGTCTTGAGAGTTCAGCCAGTAGATCATATCTAGTCCCCACACCTAAACAGCGGCCAGAGAAATCCAGCGTCTCTCTCACCGTCATCTCACCAAAATGAAGATCGTGTTGACTAATGTACGCACAGGTCCTTCGTGGAACAAACTCGTGAAACTCGTGACCACAGTATGTTATCCTCCCAGACATCTGTTTGCGACTTTTGGGTCAGTATTTCTATTACAACTTCAGCATATTGTAAAACATGAATCCATCAACTCAACGATGAGTTTCCAAGGGCAAGTCAAACCAACCTTTAGGCTATCATCAAGCTTCCCAGCCAAAGCTATCAACAGTGATGTTTTCCCTGAAGCGGGTGGACCGAGCAAAAGGGTCATCCTGAAAGTTTTTCCAGCAAGTATTCAGCAATGAGTAATGCGGTAATGTAAAGAATATTAGGCAAAATGCAATGAACAAGAGGCTTTCATTTAGAGATCCGCAACTAGACTTCATTCCTCGTTTCTAACTCTATTCGATTTTGATCCCTTACTCTGGTTCGAACCAGATTGGTCTAGAAGATGGTTCAGCGCCACTAAATTGCTGAAATACTGCAACAATATAGCAAAATACACAAACCCGTTTTCTTTTCTTCTTTTGATGAAGAGCAAATAAACACACTTGCTGTTACTTTACCTTGATGGTTTGACAATGCCGCTGATATCTTTAAGAATCTCAATCTTCTTCTTTTTGGATGGGACAAGGTGGAGAAAGCCAAGAATACTCTATTTAACAACAAAGCAGAGGGTGTAAGTAAAATTCCATCTTCTTAAAGCTGTAAACATACTTCGAATCAAAAGCATATACAATCCCTTATGAAGCTGTAAACATGTGGACCTCTTGATAGCCACGATCAAATACAACCCGCAGAAGAAAAATATCATCTTAAATGGTTTCGAAGCTCAAATTTGAAGAGTCAATGGTTATGTATCTGTTTCACAATCAACTGCACTTTTATGAACATAAAAGGTTCACCTAATAAAATATTTTTTAATCGTGAAAAGGGAAATTTTTATACATGCACACTGAAGTTTTTTTATAAAACAAATGCCCGCAAGAAGGAATAAAATAATGCCACGAAGCATCTTTTGTTGTTCTATTTTGGGAAACAAAATGCAGACAAAGAAGGAAAAAACAAAGAGGTGAACAAAGAAAAAGGCGCACCTCTATTGCATTCAAGGCGACGTTGAAGAGAGTGGGAAGTGCTCTGCTTCCAACACGCACGTCTCCCTGCACTGTTAAATGCTCGTATCGGACCTCGATTTTTGGCATTTCGATCCCAACCCTAAATCCCCAAAATCAAATTAGTCATGACACTAATCATAAATCTAAATTTGAATAATTGATTTTTCCCAGGAATTTTTTTTTTCTGGTGGATGAATTCGTTACCTGTCGATCCTGTCTCTCAATCTCTGAAGGAACTTCTCGTTGTCTTCCTCGACCAATTTCAAAATCATCTCCATTAACTGCTTCTTCTCCTGTGGCCCCAACCTGGTGACGTCTACCTCCTCGAGCTTCGTCCGTCCGGTGTCCGTAATGCATGGCATCATCCCCTTCCGGAGCCGATCGTACGTCGGTAACCGCTCTATCGCCGCCCACCGGAGCTCTTCCTCCTCATCCTCACGCCTCACGCTGTTTCCGAATACCTCGTCGCCCTGCGTCGCCGCCGGCACGAATAAATCCCTGTAGCTCGTCGACGCCGCCGCCGTCGTCGCCGCTGTTGTGCTACGGTGACTGGTGGAGGCCCAGCTCCCTCGTCCGCTCATCGTGCGGACCAGATCTTCGTCTCGTCCCAGCATCGCCGCCATTGGCAACGACTGAACCAAAAAAGGTGAAGTCGAAGTTTCTTCTACTTCTCTATGAGATACACCGTCAAAGTTATCCTCTGAGACGCAAAAATGAAAGCTGGGATTGGAACTTTTCAGAAGGATGTATTTCCGTACGCCATGGAAAGAGCACAGAGAGAGAGAGAGAGAGAGAGAGAGAGAGAGAGAGGAAGCAATGGGAGAGGGGAAGGAGATATAAATAAAGAAATCGCAGAAATGAAGTGTTTTCCCCTCTTGAGTCAACTTTTGCGTAATGTAAAGAGCGCGGGTTTGTTTTATTTCTCGATCCAAATTTTTCACATCATATATATATATATATATATATATATCCACATTTGATATGTAAAATTGGAGAGAAGCAACAAACACGTTATGTTATTGACTTATCATTGCATATTTTTATGAAACAATTTTAGTGTTTTCGAATCAATGAAAACCCTAAACACAAATTAAGGCAAAGTTCTAATATCTGAAATTAGAAATATAACTACAAGTTCATGATACTTTTTATCTACATGAATACACTTTTCATCTTTCAAAAAATCAATTAATTTCTATTTTTGTTTTTTTTTTTCAATTCAATTCCTCCATTTTTTTTGTAAATTAAAATTATATTTTTTGCACCAATTGTATATTGCATGTACACAAATGTCTTTCTCATATAAGTTATTGTTTTATATGTTGGGCAGTTGGTATTAATTGCTCCCCTTTAAATATTTTTTATTGGCAAAGAAATTTAATTTTTAGTTAGATATTTTTCTATTATATAATCTTGAAATTTTGCATAATCACAAATGTTATGGATGGGAGAATGTATGACGGTATGAGTACTTAATAGATAAAATAGTTTTACAAAATAATATGACATTGACAGCGAGCTTAATAAGATCAATTTGGCTTTTACATTTGATAAAAATCTAGAATGACAAAGTAAAAACCTTGATTAGAAGTATATAAAATCAAACTGAATTTAGTAATTTCTTAACATCAAGTACAACCTAAAATTTGAATATAAATATTTTTTAAAATAAAATCAATGAAATTCCATTAATATAAAAACATTGATGAAAATGAAATTTATTCTAAAAAGTAGAATAAATTTAAATGGGTTGCGAAAAAAATCAAATCGAATTAAAAATTGTTAACATAGACAAAAAAAAAGTACTTTTTAACTAAAAAATTGAATACAAAACTAATTGAATCAAAACCAGATGGAAAACTAAATAATCGATTTTATTTAGAAATATAGCCAAGAAACACATGCGGATTTTTGTTATCTTTGAACAAATTATAATTTCATTTATTTATTTTATATTAAATTCTTCTAGAAGGAAGAACTTTTTGATGGAGAGCTTGAAAAGGTAACATTTTGGAGACTCGTTTGCTTTCACATCACGTAACCTCGTTCAAATTGAGGGTAAAATGATTGCATAATTTACTTTTCTATTTTTTTATTGCATAATTCTATTAATATCCCGTTTGTTATTAAACGGTCAAATATAAAAATAAATTACTTAAATAATAATAACGGATTCTGTAATATAAAAATAAATTACTTTTTAGTTATAAATTACTTTTTTCATGGCAGACAGGTCAATCGCTTTTTGTGTTTGTGTTTGTGTTGTTGTTTTTGTCCACTAATCGTAGTTTTTATTATCTTTAGTCACACAAACCACGTGGAACTTTATCTTTGCCATTGCGATTTAATTATGTGTGATTAAGTTGACCGCTGACCAACATTATTTAGAAATTTCTAATAACAGCTAGTGGGGACTTTTTGAAAATGACATATTAATACATATGCAATTACATGAATATATATATATATATAGACATACTATATATATCCATAAGTAAATCTAAGTCCAAAAGTAATGTCAAAACCAATGGAAAACATATTGTTTTGATCATTTGACAGTAAACTAGTTCATTTAAAATTATTTAAAAAGTTAGTATTAATTTCATGTATTTCTAATAAAACCCATCTTGGGTTAACCATTACCAAAAAAAAAGATAATAAATTTATGTATGTATGCATGCATGTATGTATTAATAGAGAAATTGTTTTCCTCTTATTGATAATGAGAATAATACATCATAATATATAGCAAAATACAATAGAATATTCTAGATATAATATATAGGGTAAATCATAATCATATAAATGATAATATTCTAATAATAATATCTTCCTATATGCCCCTCAAGATGAATCATCTATGATAAATTCAATCTTGTTACATAAAAACTGAAAACTGAAATTGTGATCGTATTAAACGAATCATCTTCCATGTGGTGGTGTAGTTCAGACTTGAGTTGGTGTTTCTTGATACCGTTTGAAGAGCCTGAGAGTTGTATTCTCAGAGGCTGATATGGCACGAAAGTGCGACGCGTATGCGTGAATTGGGTTGCACGACAATGAAGTCGGCAGCGCAAAAAAACTGTGGTGTATATAGCGGTTAGGCCGGAGAAAATAAAAAAAAATTGGCGCAAAAGCGCGACGCATAATGCGTGATAGTCTAGCAGTGGGACAAGAGAAGAGAATAAAAATAAATGACGCAAATATGTGGATCGACGATCGGAGTTTTCCAATCGAAAGAGGCTAAAAGCCATGTTTAAAGAGCTCACAACTGCTAGGGTTGACATCGATAAACGAACGTCGTCAGAGAAAAAAAAAAGAGTAGCACATCGGTTAGGGTTGATAGTGATGAAGCTTTCGGATTCGACCAACATTATTGATGAGAAGGAAAAAAAAATTAGAGCAAAAATCGAAATTCTGATACCATAATAGAAAAATTATTTTTCTCCTATTGATAATGGGAAGAATACATCATAATATATAGCAAAATACAATAGAATATTCTAGGCATAATATCTATGGTAAATCATAATCATATCAATGATAATATTCTAATAATAATATCTTTGTATATGTATATATGTATATATGTATGTATGTATATATGTATGTATATATGCATGCATGCACTATGTATGTATGTATGTATGCATGTATGTATATCTATCGATTTATTTTTCATTCTGAAATTTCAAAAGATATGAATTAAATCTTGACCAAAGTAATTATAAATATATAATGTCTTATATATTAGATTATCCCTTTCACTCTACATATATATATATATATATATATATGGCGACAAAGCATATCTAAGAAGATTTCCGACAAATCAAGTCTCCAAGAACATGCAATGCAATGAATCCTCTTTAATACTTCGGAAGATTAGAAATATACATCCATCGATCATGCATGCAAGTTGGCGTATAATATTTCACTGTTCATATTAAAAATTATATATTCCGTGTGTATAATGTTTGGAACAATAATTTAAGCTCTCCTAAAAATATATATTAAGATCAAGAGAAGAGAACACCCATTTTTAAACTTTTGATTATATATTTATATTCCTTCTTTTCTGTGCATGTGAAACTTATGTAATTTAATAAATTTATTACCAAAAATAAATTTCATACTATAAACTATGGTGAGAAAAACAAATATTATAATATGACGGGCTTTACAAAAAAGTTTAGTATTATTCGATTCGGCCAATCTATTTAAGAAAATGCTACAAAAATCATTTATTTATTTATTTTCCTTGTTGTTTTCGTGTAATCCACCCCACAGTTACTAATTAATTAATTAATTAATTAATTGAAGAATGTCGCTTTACGAGTTTGAGAAGATCGGACGGTCAGAAAATATCTTAGCCCGCGATCGTAGGGATCTGGTCACATGGCGTTATTTCATTGTACTTTTCCCTATACATTATTAAAATAAATAATTATAATCATAACAACGACAACAAAATCCATTATACTCAAAGATTTTGCAAAGAATCTCATTTTTACTCCCAAATATTTTATGTGTTACATTCCGATCTAAACTCAATTTTTATCTTTTATATTTGAAAAATATCTATAAAAATAATTATCATTTTTACTAGATGAACGAATCCATTATAATCAAGCATATATATATATATAAGATCCGCAACTAGACTTCATTCCTCGTTTCTAACTCTATTCGATTTTGATCCCTTACTCTGGTTCGAACCAGATTGGTCTAGAAGATATAATAATAATAATAATAATAATAATAATAATAATGGACTCTTTGTAAATTTGTACCAAAATACAAAATTAATTTGCTTTTTCAAAATTAAAATTTTATATATCAAATGGTGGAATTGCTACATGTGAAAAAGACTACGGTGACACAAATCAAAGGGCTGAAGAAAATATATTGTGATGGTGCCGACATATTTGTTCATACATGTGCATGCGTCAACCATGACGAAGAAATTTCATTTATTTTTATATTTTAATTTTTATTTATTTTATATTTTATTTGTTGCGACAATTTTGATGTAGACAATCTGGCCAGTAACGTAGCACCGTTCACCGCTTAATTAATGCCGTTAGAGTTTGTGAAGGAAATTTGAAAGTAATTACAATTTGATACTTTTTTTTATAGATAAAACATTTATTTATTTATCGATAGGATATTAATTTAACAGATTTGTATATTTATTTGAAATTTTTGTTTTTTATAATTTTTTTTAATTTGTTATTGAATCAATTGATCAAGAAGATGCATTCGGGTCTCCGTATTGTATAAAATATATTTTACTCTGTCGAAGTATATTTCAAAAGGTATTCATGGATGTAACAACCCGGTTTTCTAAAAAAAAAAAAAAAAAAAAAAAAAAAAAAAAAAAAAAAAAAAAAAAAAAAAAAAAAAAAAAAAAAAAAAAAAAAAAAAAAAAAAAAAAAAAAAAAAAAAAAAAAAAAAAAAAAAAAAAAAAAAAAAAAAAAAAAAAAAAAAAACGACGTTTACCCACCAATCTTCGACAATAATTCCGATTTTTCAACCCTAGGGCCCTATGGCTCAATCATTATCCGTCTGGGTCCGAAATTTCCGTCACAAATCATCCAAATCCGAGCTTCAATCGCCCATTTTCTCTCCCTCTCATGTTCTTCATTTCTGGCCAAAATTTCTCTCCCAAATCCGAACAATTGACGCTCAAATCGGTTCCTACAGAGCAAGAAGAGCATCACCGAACTTCCTAGCCAACACCCATAGCACGGGCTTAACCGAGGTGAGTGAATTCGAGTTTAATTCGGAGGTCTGTTAGACATGGGGTTTTGGGTTTTGGGTGATTTCGTGTAAAATTGATGTTTGATTTGTGTTGTGCATGCAATTTTATGAGTTTTAGTGTTATACCCATAGTGAATCGTGCATGTTTGTGTATTTTGGTGAAAATCCGAGGACCAGAACGTCCGGTCTGAGGTCAGACCGTCCGTTCTAGGTCCGCAGAAGAAAACGCGAAGTCTGGAGGTTGAAGACGACTCCAGAACGTCCGTTCTGCAAGTCCGGAACGTCCGTTCTGACTTACCAGAACGTCCGTTCTGGACGAGACGGAACGTCCGTTCCGCATTGCCAGACCGTCCGGTCTGACGAGACGGAACGTCCGTTCTGAACCGATCGGTCTAGTCCTAGACCGATCGGTCTGAAAAAAAAAAAAAAAAGAGTAACGGAACTG